CTCTCTCTCTCTCTCTCTCTCTCTCTCTCTCTCTCTCTCTCTGATGATACCACGTAACTTGGACGTGAAAAAAAGACCGACGGAGTTTGACGGCAGAACCCTTCGGATAGAGTGAACGAGACATTTTTACGTTCATTCATAAAGTCGACACAAAGGTTCCACAGTAGCAACCCGAGTGAACGTAGTACGCGTTGCATTGGAGCTCAAGTCCCCGAAGAGCTCCCTTCTTTCAGTGCTTCCTGTTGAAGAGAATATCGAGAAGAGGGTCTCATTTTCAAACTATGGATACTGTTTGAATCGAATATCAAGGACAAATCGAAACCCGGCGTGCCGTGTTTAAGGACCAACCACCGGGATGTCGTTTGGGAGACGTTTAGGAGATTTCAAGTATTTGTGTGTAACTATGTATTTGACGATGTCGTCCTCGATGACGAGGTCTTTTGTTGGACAAGTTGTGTGTTGAAGAGACGATCTAGAATCTCGTGCATGTATCATTCAAAATGTTCTGTATAATTTTTCTGTCAGAACATAAAATATATGTTCTCTCTTATCTCTCTTCGTCTGTTTGCTATCCCCTTGCTCTTTGAAAATGTATATAGTTGTACAAATGTGCGATTGTATATCATACATGAAGAAAAAAGATTGTATTAACGTCAAATTTGCTTTCAATAAATGAATCAACGAGTTACGAAACTTTTATGATTCTTATGAGCCAAATTTTCTAGGAAGCAGAAATTCCGTTTCCTTGAAACAAAATACGGTGTTGGTGCGATCATTGCAACGAAATTTTCTTCTCCGCGTGCAAGGTAGAATTCGCGCACAACGTCGAAAGAGAATCGAGCGGCAATAGATGAAACAGATGAAACGGTCGTACGTTCAACGATACCGATTCGATCCCGCAGGTGCAACGAACGGAGGGGCAAGTGGTAGAATCGCATCGCGAATACGATTAATCCGAAATTTATGATGGAAACCAACAGGTGTTGGCGCAACGTGGCACTCTCGCTCCTCATGTATGTGTCCCGGTGTGTAACAAGGCGTACCACTCTACGTCGGAGGATTCGCCTAACCCGATATGCGTGACTGCTCTTAAACGCTCGCTTCCGGTTCCCGGTGTTATTCCGGCATAATCAGATATGTTAATCGCCCATGCGAGCGCGAAAATAAACGAAATGCTCGTTGCTTCTACACCAATCCCTGCGAGATTCCGTCGAATTTCGAGAATTGGCCGCGTGATTATTTCCGTGACAAAAAGCGCGTCGTGTTTTGCTGAGATTTTACCTGTAATCTTCCTCGTTGCTGACGTAGTCCGGCGGTATCAGATGCCAGGAAGCGTCGTAACAGTCGTCGTATCCGGCTGCCATTTTTCTCAGCCTCTTCCTCTTTTTCTCGGGGAATGTCTCAGGCAAGCGACCGAGTTCGGTATCTGTTTCCGATATGAACGAAAGAGACACGCCCGTGGGCGATCCGGTCAGCGATTCATCGAGGAGCCGACACCGCGCGAGAGAACTCTTCCTCTTAATTCCTCTCGTCGCTTACGACTTTATTCGCGGATTCGCGCGAATAAACGCTCGCCGAGTTTGCCGACGATTCGCGCCACGGAGTCATCGCTAATTGTCGCGTAGAAGAAGTTCACTCCGAGTATCTGTTAACTTGGCACTCTTACTTGGAATTCTCAACTTGTAGTAGATTGTTGAAGAAGAGAGCGCGCTCGGTTGTACTCTCTGGTTGTGATGGCCGCCTCACTGAGAACTATGTGGCAATATATCGATCACCTATATATTGCATCAAAAATATGGCTACCTGATAGGAGCTCCGGCAACGTTATCGGTGTGATAACAGCCTACATAGATTAGTTTGACTACCGCAAATCGTAACGTGTGTATCGGGAGAGCCGAAATATTATCGAGTCTTCTCGATTTCGATCAGAGGAACACATTTGCATAATTGCGCTTTCATTTTACAACACTTTTTTTTTCTTTCATTCTCTACACGGTGCCGAAACAATTGCGACACACAGAGTGCAAAGTGCATGTCTTGAAATATGCGCTTCACGATACGCGTCGCGTTGCAGAAGCTGTCGCGCGACCGTTGGACAAAATTTCCACCATCCCCTTGTGGATGCTTCGCGAAGGAAAGCCCGAGGGAAAAAAGAAATTAAATTACAGAGATTGCCGTATCTCTACCACGTGTAATACGATCCCGAGATATCGATAGTGATTTACGTGGGGATTTTCTACCAGGCGATTTTCTTTACCGAGTCAAAGCTAACATAGCGTAATTTCAACGCACGCGTTTTGTTTATTTTTTCTTTTTTTATCATCGCTATCAGTGTTATTTTGTCGCGAGGATAATTGTGCGCTCTTGTCAGTTGTCGCGCGCGCGCGCCAAAGTTGAAACGATTTGTTCGATTGGGTGGCATCAATGGAACTGGATTTTTGTCGTCGCGACATCATTTCGTGTTTGTTCGAAATTTCTCACACCGGTCGGCGATACTGGATCATGGAACAGTCGAGAAGTGGTGCGGATAACGCGACTCCCAATCGAATTCTACCAACGGGAGGCAATGACCGTGAGAGATAATCGGCCAATTGTTGCTACTTGACAGTCGGTTGTACCTTACAATTTGTTAATGACAAGAGACCCTCGAGATGAAGTATCCAGGCTTAACCGACAAGTGCTACCGCGAACAGAGCCCGTTACGAGTGCACTGATAAAGGAGAGTTTCCCTCACTATCTGTATTTATTTATGCAACGGTTCGGATAAGCCGAGGTGTTGACGATTGCAATCAATTGAAATTAGGATGCAGTCGGAATTACGATCGTCGAAATTTCGTCGTCGGATGAAACGACGAGAATAGACCCAAGAGAGCCGGCAGAGTTCGCGAAGAGGAAGCGCGTCCGTGTGGCACCCCCCGTCTCCTTCTGCCGAAACTCTCTTCTCGAAGACTTAACGATATTGAAACTATCGAGCCGACGATTCAAGTGCAGGCGCGCAACTTGTGTTCGTTAAATTTCCAGGATACCGCGACACGTTTATCCGCCGACCGGACATATCTATGACATATGGGTCTAATCTCGCGTTATCGCGCGCTGCGCGATAAGGGCGGTTGTTGCGCGTCGCGAAAAAAAACAAGAAAAAAAGAGAAAAGAAAAATGGACGTCCCGGTATCTCTAATAATTTTATGAAAAGGTGGGTGGGGTGTGCAATCTCGCGGGCGCTGTATCGTCAACTCGCGCGAAAAAGATCGATATAGCGACGCAGAAATTTGCGCTTCGCGAGATAAAGAATCGGAGACGAGCTATCGATCATTACGTCCACGAGCTATTGATTCAGGCCGCTTTATCGTTCCACGGCTGTCGCGGGTGTAGAGGAGCGGCTGGTGTTAAGATTCTCGGTTGTATTTTTGACGCTAGCACGGGTCGCTGCGAAATAACACCGTATCGGATTAAATAATTTATTATCGCAAAATCTCAGTAGTAGTACAGCGATAAAGCAACAACTGATCGATCTCTCGCAAGAACGGTGACATTATATCGCGTACTCGCAACGAGACAAGATATCGGGATTATAAATTACGTCGTTGTTTCCTGTCGACGATCCGAGCGCGCGAACAGATTTTCCAAGTTTGACTATCGAGACTATCGAGACGAATAAACGAATGATGCAGAATGACCGATGAATATATGAACGTGAACGTGACAATGACGTGATAGTTCCGCTTCCGGACTGCGACCGCTGTCGATCGCTTCGTATTATCCGACTAGGACGCGTATTGCGCAAGCGGTGTAGCATAAATTATATTACAAATATATATATATATATATTATCATTACAGTAGTTATTGCATAACTGGAGAAAAGTAGAGAGAGAGAGAGAAAGAGAGAGAGAGAGGCAATGAACGTTTTCAAAATAACATACGCGGACTTTAATCGCAATTTTCGCACGCAGTCGCTTTACTCTATCGAAAAATAAACAGCATTCAAGGTCAAGATTACAGAGGAATTGCGTAATTGTTACGCTTGCAATGGACGGTGTTTAGTCTAAATACGATAGTGCTCATGTACTTTGATCGTGTACTTTAGTCACATCGAAGCGATTTAGATGCAATTGTCATATCCGTAAAATCGAAACTGACTTAGCTAAAGTCTGATTTGCTGTTATTTTCTGTAATCGACGAATTGTTAAACTAATCGCGCTAGTCACATATAATACGAGTGAACGCGCGTCTCTCGCCGATATACGATTGAATTTGCGATCTTGTCTTGTCGTTTCTCATCCTTTCTTTCTTTCTTTCTTCCTCTATCGTGTCACGCAAACTATAATTACGTTATTATCAAAAAAAGAAAAGTGAGATTGCTCGAGCGAGAGCTCGATAGCGACAGCGTACTTTGTATCGGCCGTTGTGGCGCGGCTCAAATGACACTTCTTGGATAACGTAAAAGTCTAAAACTCTGAAAAGATACCTGAAACAATCTTCGATAGTTTTCAACAGTTTCGACAGTTTTCTCATCGCATATCCTTCTCGGGTTTTACGCGAACGCTCTTTTATCTCTCCAAGTAATAATAGAGGAATAACTTGGATGGCTTTGATGACTCTTTAAAATCGAATTCGATGCGGACATGTCGATAGCCGCCGTATCGGCTCCGCTCTCTATCACAGCGACCGTGATGGCGGGCAAATATATCTCTTTATCCCAAATCTCAATCCCCAACCGTAATTGCGTAACCATCGATTAAACTCGATACGGCCCTCTGATACTGTATCGTCAATAATAATCTGTCCCTCTCTCTCTCTCTCTCTCTCCTTTTTTCTCTCACTCTTTCTCGACGTGCTTCGTGGAAATGTTGCAAACGTCGTTCTCTTCCTCTCATTTCTCTCTGTAATCTTCTACCTTTCACCCGCCGACTTATTCCGTTTCCGTAAACGACGAATTATTTTTTCTTGCGATTGCCGTGACTCGTACGTTTACCCCGGTGGTGATGATGATGATATTTGCTCGCGTTTGTACCGCGTTTGCTCATGACTGTGCCGTTATTGGCCTCTTCGAATGCTCGTCCTGTCTGATTCTTCGTCACGTCGATTTTTCGATCTGAATCAAATCAACGGTACAAAGTACCATGCGGTCGATATAATGCAATCTCTTTCGTGCGAATTGCGTAATCAATAACATACCTGGTGTTGTTTGTCTCGTGATGAAATGCGCGTCGCCGTTACCATATTCGTTTGTCTTTAAGGTGTTTCTTTGGTGCGAGTCTAGTGAACATAGAAATAAAATTGCTCTCGCAGTTTACAATAAAATGATTTTTGTTAGATTTACGGACCGCAGGATGCACCATGAAAAAATTACCCAACGAAAAAGATTCGATGTTGTTTCAATTTTCAGTATGACGTCAAACAAATTATTAAATTACAAGCGCAAATAATAATGTATTTCACGCAAAAAAAAATATATATATATATAACGTATAAACTTAATGCTAAACTTGTGATTTTTTTCCACTTTATATGCACTGTGATAATCTAGACATAAAATGCGAAAGAATTATATTTTCGCGTTTTTTATATTTGCTGCTAACTTTAGTGATGGATATATTTCGTATAACACTATACATGCATCAAAATGAGTAGTAGAAATGTTAGTATCGTAGATACAAGCCGTGCAAGTTTCGCACAAAAAAATTGCAAGCTTTATAGGCTAAGCGCACACGTCGTAAAACGAATGAATGAATCGTTTCTTTTTTCTTTCAACAAAATATTCTTTTGAACGCAGAGATCCCAGCTATCCTCCTGGCTGGTAACTCCAATTGCATTTTGATCGCCTCGTGTGTCGAGATTATTGATTAAGTAATCCAACGTAAAGCAACGCACGAAGAATCACGTAGACTCCACCTCGATTCAATATCCTCAATGAAACTACGTCTTTTGTATGCCGAATATATCTTGAAAGTCAATAAGAAAATAAATAAGAAAAAATACAGAAAAATAAAGTTGTAGCTATAAAAACGTGAAAAATGGGCGTATACGCGCAGTCGAATTATTCGAAACTCTGGCGGTACTTGTATACTCGAAATAGCCAGACAATTCCGCAACACTTCCGAAAATAATTAATTTGATATATGATGTCAAATTGATTCGTCTCATTACACTACGCTGTTAACAACAATCATCGGCAATACGCATATTTATCGTCAGACAATGATCGCTTCGATGTCTCAGTTATTTCAACGAAATAGCAGCAAGCATGGACTCTCAAGACAGATTACTCACTCTGAACGGGAGAAGTGCTTGAGGATGAAACCGGTTGTCTCGGAATATCGTTCGAGGTGCTCGAGTTGCTCGAACTTCTCGATCTCGAGGCGCTCGACTCGACCGGAGAGAAAAAATGGGCATCGCTGTCCTGGCTGAGGGCGGGCGTTTTCTCTGAAGAATTGTCCTCGGTGCTCAAGCTGCCGGGCTGTTCGATCAAATCGCACTCTGCCTTGTCGCACTCTACTTTGCTGCCCTCTTCCTCGTCGTACTCGTTTCTGCCACCCTTTTCCTGGTCGCACTCTACCTTGTGGCGCTCTCCTTTGCCGCCTTTTCCTTCATATTTTTTCTGCTTGTCCTCGTCGCTTTTCTCCTCCTCCTCCTCCTCCTCCTCCTCCTCCTC